TAGGGTTAGAGGGGGCACAGTGACACACGGGGTACAGTAAAACAAGTTTAATATTTCTACCTCTTTTTATCAATTTATTTTTACTGGCAACACTGCTTTATTAAGCGTTCGCACTGCCATCTTGGTGCAGTTGTCATTTCTCAATTTGAAAGCTGCCTGTTGAGTTCTTGCAAAAAAACTGATTTTTGAAAGTAATTCGTATCTTTTTTCACGAAAAAGTTTTCGATTTTATTAGTACACTGTTTACCAAAGGTATGTATGGCTATTTTTTTAATAATTCTTGCATATTTCTTGTAATATTGACATCAGACGAAGGCCGGTGTTTATAACCTAAAAAATGTTATATGTTTTTGTGTTAGTGAAGGGGGTCATGGGGTACAGTGAAACGGGGCACAGTAAAACATGTTTCAGTGTACCCCTTTATATTAAGATAAGTTTTTGTTTTTTGTTTTTAGAAAACACCACAATGGTTCGTAACCGGAAAAGAAAAACGGATATAGGGCTTCATAATGAAGCAGATATGAAAGAAGCAGTAGCCTTAGTTGAAGGAGGTAAAACTTTAAGAGAAGCAGCAAATCTGAAGAATGTTAATTTTAGCACATTGTATAGGTATTGCAAGAAAAAAAAGGAAAACCCAGAAGAAGAGGGACAGGTCGTGAGATATACGCCCAACTACAAAGTGCGAACAGTGTTTACAGAAAATCAAGAACAAAAATTAAAAGAGTATTTAATTACGTGCGCCAAAATGTCATATGGACTGGACACCATTGAGGCAAGAAAGTTGGCTTACGAATTAGCTTCACATCTTAACCTTGAGACTCCACAGTCGTGGAAAGACCGTAAAATAGCTGGTATAGACTGGCTTTATGGCTTTCGGAAACGGAACCCGGATTTATCATTAAGAAAACCGGAACCATGCAGCCTTTCACGCGCCACCTCGTTCAATAGGCACAATGTGATGATGTTTTTCGATAACTTAGAGGATGTGATGAAGAGACAGTCTACATTTGGAAATGGCACGCGTGTTTTTGCATTAGACGAAACAGGCACAACAACAGTGCAGAAGCCTAAAAAAATTTTAGCACAAAAGGGGTCTAAACAGTTAAATAAGGTAACAAGTGGAGAAAGAGGGACACTTGTGACTACTTGTTGCATTGTTTCAGCAACAGGTACTGCATTGTCTCCAGCCATGGTGTTCCCTCGAAAACATTTCAAGAACTTCATGATAAACAAAGCTCCAATAGGGACTCTGGGGCTTGCCCAGCCAACGGGATGGATGAATACTCAGTTATTTGCTGAAGTTATGAAGCATTTTGTCAAGATAACCGGTTCATCGAAAGACAATCAAAGCCTTTTAATACTTGATAACCATGAAAGTCATCTTTCACCAGAGGCTTTAAATATTGCCAAAGATAATGGCGTGACCATACTAACAATTCCGCCTCACACGAGTCATAGGTTGCAGCCATTAGATGTTTCAGTGTTTGCTCCATTACAAACCTATTATAATGCCGCAGCCGATTCTTGGATGATGCGAAACCCAGGAGTGCCGATTTCAATTTATTGTGTCGCAGAAATCTTGGGAACTGCTTTCGAAAAAGCCATGACCCCTGTCAATATTAAGTCAGGTTTCCGCAAATCAGGAATTTTCCCGTTCGACCGCAATATTTTTAATGATGATGATTTTATGCCCAGTGAGGTAACCAATCGTACCGATCCCAATGAAAAAACTATGCCTGACGCGGAATCATCTCGAACTAACAATGCGCGTGACCAAGAATTTGATTTATCCAGAACCCCATCTCCTAGCCTCATCGAAGAAACGGACTGTAATAAGTTACAACTACTAAGAAATAATGATAGACAGACGCCTCAGAAAAGTTTTGCTCAGGTGCAAGAAGATGATATGACTGAAAACATAGACTTAGTTCAAATAGATGCATCGAAATTGGAGAAGCAAAATAATAAAAATGTTTCAACGGCAGGTAAACATCTTCATGGCATTCTCAAAAGTCCACTTGAATGCAGAGACTATCCCAAAGCAAAGCCTCGATTAAGCTCATCAAAAGGAAGACAAAGAGGTAAAACGATAATAGCAACAGATACACCAATTAAAAAAGAAATTGAAGAAAAAGCCCTATTAAAAGAAGAGAAAAAACTTATGAAGAAGGAGAAAGAAATTGAGAAAATAATAAAAAAAAAAGAAAAGAAAACTAAGCAAGAGAAACCAGAATCAAGTATGAAAGTAAAAAAAGTTAATAAAATACTTTTTTCGGATTCTAGCGATTCTGATGCATCTGTGTCTTCTGCTAATTTAGATGACATTCCGTTAACCTCCTATAATATTGCAAAGAAAAACGACTTTGTCATAGTTCGGTTTCCGGGAAAACAACTAAAGCATTTTATAGGTCGATTGTTAACAGACTTAGACTGTGAAAGTAATGAATACGATATTAGTTACCTGAGAAAGAGTGTTAAATCGGAAGGATTTTGCTTTCCATTAGAACCAGATATGGCTGTGGTTTCCAAAGATGATATAGAAATTGTGGTGAAACCTTTGGACAAAAAATTGAAAACAAAACGCCAGTCAGACATATATTTTTTCTCTCAAAACATTTTAAAATATTTTAATTTATATTAATGTTTCTTACATATATATTTTTTGTTATAAATGTTGATTTTGTATGACATTTTACATTATGTTGCACTGTGCCCCAATCTGTTTCATAGTACCCCTACCCTAGTTTTACTGTACCCCAGATCTGGGGCACAGTACAACAAAAAATTGATCTCGAAAAAGTGCCAATAATTTAAGATTACTTATAGAAACACGTAGTTTGATATTGTTGATTATTAAAGGGATAGCTAATGTTAATTTTCTTGAAAAGAGTTTATTAAAATAATAAGAAATTTTGATTCTATGAACAAAAAACGTTTTTTTGTTTCATTGTGCCCCACCTTACCCTACCT